AACTTCTTTTGCAGATTTACAATCAATTCTTAATAAAAAAATTTATTTATTAAATCATGTTGAAATTTTTGTATATTTAAAACTATGCTTAAAATTTCTTTTTTAATAGTGCTATAATTTCTTTGGGCTTCATTCCATATTCCTGAATGATATCTTACTATTTGTTCGGGAGTATTAGGTAACTATTGTTTTAATATTCCTCCATATCCCATATCAGAAGCATCAGTTTCTATAATTATTTTTGCTTCTGGATTAGGTAGAAGATACCGAATCCATTTTAATACTTTATTTAGAGGATTATAATTTATTACCATCCTGGGTTCTCCTATTTCTATTTTGGAGGCATTTTGCACATAGAAGGCAGACACAACTCTAAGGAGATTTGCTTGACCTAATAAGTTTCTTATCTAAAAAAGATTTTATTTCTTTTCTACAGTATTCTAGCGTTTCTTTATTTAATTGTACTGGTGTGGCTTTAGTAGGAATATTCTTTTCTAGAAATCCTTCTTCATAGGGTAATTCTATTTCAAAAGTATGTCTATTCCAAAAGGCCGTAGGAACTTCTGCACATACCTCTTTTATAATTTCTTGTTCTATATTTTTAATGGTTGTAATTACTTTGAGATTTTTTAACTGTTCTTCTATTCTTTTGTATGCTATTTCTTGTTTAAATATTTTATATGGGTATTTTTAGCTTCTAATTTTAATAGAAAGTTTTCTTCATTTACATCAGTCACTATTTGTATTTCTTTATTTTTATTGGTTTAATGAATTCGAATAAAAGGTTGTTATGTTTTATTCCTTGTTCGGATACTTCAAAAGGGTAAATTAATGTTAGAAATGAGGTTCCTAATATCATTTCTTCACTAATATCAGGGGTTAATATAAAAGTATTTTTAAAACAAGTTCCCTTATTACATATACTGGCGTTTGACAATTTATATTTTACTTTTAGTTTTTCGGAGTTGGCTGTTCTTAGGGTTTGTAAAGTTTTTTCATAAAATTTTGTAGGTATCAGTCCTTCTCTTATACAGTTTATATCTGCTCCAGAATCTACTAAAACTGTAAATTGTTTATGAAAACTATTTCCAATTTTTAATGTAGCTTTTATATGCCATTTTTGTTGTAGAATTTGTAGTTGGTTAACCTTCTCGAGATGTTGATTCATTATTTAAGATATTTTTATTAGTTATACTATTCATTTTTCTTCTTGTATTTCATTTTTTATTTTTAATTCTACTAATTGAATTTTTATTTCTTTAATTTCTTCTTTTAGAAAGCTTATTTTTTTTGTAAATCTTGTAAATTTACAGATTTTTCTTTATTTATTGCTTTTCTTAATATTTTGGAAAAATCATAACCACTTACTTCATTTGGTACTCGTTTCGCATCTTTCTCACTTAATATTAATGTTTTTAGTCTAGTTAAATATTTTAGCTTATCTTCTTCATTTGGAAGTTTATCTACCATGTCTAAAGCTATTTTAGTTTCTGTAGTTAGCACATTTATGTTAAATATATAGTCACAATTTTCTTCATTTTCATTTTCACTTGTAGTATGTTCTTCTTCACTACTACTAGGTTCTATTAGATTATTAATGTCTTCTTCTGACTCATATAACAATATTTTTGCTATTTGATTTTTGGTTTCTTCACTCATATCTAAGTTTTGTATTCGTTCTCTTACTCTACAATCTTTTTTCATGTGTCCGTATCTTCCACATTTATAACAAACTATTACTTTCTTGGGATTAAATTGATTATTATTTGTAGATGGGTTTGTTCTTATTTTTCTTTTAAAGTTTCTAGGGATGTTTCTATTATTATTCTGAGAGAATTTTCGTTTAATTATTTGTTTCTTAATTTTTCTGGAAGGGGGATCTAATCGTTCGTATCCATATTGTATACAAAAATCTCCTAATTCTTTTGTACCACTTTCTTGTTGTCTTTTAATTTGCTTTTCCAATTTTAAATTATTACATATTTCTAAGGCAGTGTTTTTAATGGTTGAAATTATTTTTCCATAGGTGATATCTTGTAATGGTTCAGGGTATTTTTGAGCTAATTTTTCTCGTACTTTTGTTGCGAAAACTGGAGGTAGTCCCGCAATAAATCTTTCTTTCCAAAAAGTTTCTTTACAATCTGTTTTAGTCATTACCATAATTATGAAATTATCTACATACCATCTAAAATCTCCTAGAGTGGGACACCTTAGATTATGTAGCAGGGTACTAGTTTTTTCTTCAAAAGTATTAGAGTCGCCCATAAAATTATGAATGATTGATATTATTAAGGTTTCTACCATTAGAGGTATTTGATTATTTCCTTCTTGTTTTACTGCTGTTAAAATGAATCTTCTTTGGTCTACAGTTAGATAATTTTCCCTGCATCCTTTTAAGGATCCAGTAAATCCTATGATTAGTAATTGTATTGTTTGTTCTTCTGAGTTTTTAGCCCTATAAGCCGAGGCAGCCATAGCCATTTCATTTGTTTTTCTTAGTAACTGATAATCAGTTAATCCATCTATGTTCCATTCAGTTATTCCTGTTCCATTGAAAGCGGATGGACTTTCTAAATTTCATTCTTCGAATTGGATGTCGGGTAAGCTTGGTCATCTATAATAATTTCTAGTGGTTGACATGTTTTGGGTGGTTGGACTTGCATTAAATTTATTTCCTATTTTATATATATTTTCTTCATAATCTATATTTCTTAGATCTCTTAGTTCTTCCTCGGGAATATCTATTACATTTAGTTTTCTTACATTTAATTGTTCTAATTATTTTATATTTATTTCCTCTAATATTCTGTTTGATTGATTTCCTATTTTAAATTCTTTATATTCTTTATCAGATAATCTTATAGGGTTTATTAATGATTTTTGTAAGTCAGTAATTCCTAATGGATTTTTATTACTCGGTGAACTTTCTTCTTCAATAGTTTTTTGAGCTATTTGATGTAATATTTGATTTGTAAAATTTAATTGATTGTGTATATTTTAAATGTCGTTTATAGTAGGAGTTTCATTGCTATTTCTTTTTTCTCCTATAATTTTAAAAGGTGATGCAATTACTTCTTTATTTTCAATATTGGGAAATCTTACTTCTTCTAAAGGAGGAATTTTACTGATTATTTCTTTATGTTTTATTTTCCATATTTTTTCAGCATTCTGCAATACATTAATTTGTAGATTTTCTAAACATTTTTCTTCAAACCATTTAAAATATGGTATATTTTCTTGAATTAAATTTAAATGCTCATAATATTTTTCACGGTATTCTTTTAATTCGTTTTGAGTAAAAGTTTTAAAGAACCATTCTCTTTTTTCTTTATTATTTTCATTTAAAAATTCTTGTCTTAATGAGTCTTTATTTATTTCGAATTTAGTTATTACGTTTATTATACTATCGTCTTGCTGTATTTTTCAGAAGCAAATGGAGAATTATGTGTTTCTAAGTTTTCATATTTGTATTCTGGCATTGGTATCGTGGGGTCGTCTTTTATACCTTTTAATTTTAAACTTCTATGATGTATTAGACTAGATTGATTGATTGATCTTCTGGCTGTTACAAAAGTATTTTTACTGGTTGTTCCTCTTTGTGAATTTATTCTTCTGATTGGGGCGAAAGATACACCTATGTTCGTCGTTTTAAGAGATAATAGACTAGTAAAACTTGAAAACCAAATATTAGCAATGTTTGAAACTAACCTACATAATGGACCAGTATACATAAATAATTACCCAAATTATTCGATAGCTCTTAAAAGTTTACATAATACGAGAAAATAATATAATACTAGACATAAAAATCCCTGAAAATGTATGGAATCTTAAATCAATACCCATAACAATAATATATATATATATATATATATATATATATATATATAATTTAAAATAATTGTTTTTGATGAAGTTTGACAAATGTTTATTTCTTATGGTTTAATTATAATTATATAAAATAAATATTTAACTTGATTAACACGCAAGCTAAAATACTAATTAAAACTAAATATTAGTAATAAAGAAAAAAATACATGGAAATTAATTTGAGACGGTGATATTTTGTCAGATAGAAAAAAATGATTAAAAAAATTTAATCTTTTTTAATGTTGCTAAAACTATTATTCGTTTTATATATAAATCATATCTCAATTTTATTTTTAATTAAATTATTTGTCTACTTTTATATAATATATTGTTACATTTTAAAACGTTCATATGATTTCAAATTAAATTGTAATTATTTTCATAGAATTTCGAATGGTTTAATTTTGCAAGTAAGGTTAGTACGTTAGTAACTATCCCCAATCTCTACAATATAACAACATATAAAGACATTATGGACTTTTAATGTAGATATTTTTTATGCATTTTAGAGTAGTGTAAATTGCATATTTATAATTCCAATTTCCTTTTCAAGCAGTGTTATGTTTCATTGATTGGAATTGAAACTTTATGTCTTGACTTTATCCAAGTGAAAGACATCCACATGAGCCAACAATCATTGTTTTTTTACTCAGTTTGGCGTATTGACTTAATCAGCTCAAATTATTCTAACTGTTTATGTTTTTTTGGGTGAATTCTCCAATTAAAGCTATTAAATCAGATAAATTCGTAAGTCAATTCTCAAATTAGTCTTGTGTCGGGAAGCAAATTGAATGTCCAAAAATTAAAACCAATAACATTTACTCAGGAATAACCCAGAATTCTCGTGGCACCAACCAATCTTTTCCTCTCTCTCATTCTCCTCCAATGCATATAACCTCGCACTCGCTCCTTCCATCAAATTCATACCCCTCTTAACTCAAACAGCTACACCAAAAAAAAAAAAAAAAAAAATCAAAACTTGATCTCCACGAAGCCGCCTCAGAAGCTCTCTCCCTCCCTCGTCTCCATAAAGTTGTGATCGTTGGAGGTGAAATAGAGCTGTGTCATTGAACACGGATGAACATATCATGAACTCCTGACACCATCATCGACCAGGATCGGGACCACAAATGGAAGTGCAGCGAATGATGGAGTTGTTGCTATTGTCTTCATTTGAACGCAAGAGAATGTCCCTTGTTGGTGGAAATCACACTGCCGCCAGATTCTGCACTCGCTAGAAAAATTATTACCCCACAAACCCTTTTCTCTCCTGTTTATCTCTAATTCTCTTTTCAATATCCTTTTTTCTTTCTTCTTTCTGCGTACTAAAACTCTTTTAAAAAAAAAAATATACCGTCGTTATCATCTTCTGTGTTTCTTTGAAATGAGGAAGGTTTTTTCTCAGCGCGTGATATTTTTCACATTGTTTCTGGCTTCCTTTACCTTGATATCTTCGACCTCAACCCAGCAACAAGAAACCAAATCCGACCCTCTTGCCATCAACACGGAAACAAAGCCCTTAAAGCAGAGAAAACTATTAGGGTACGAGCCAGATGCAAAGAAAGCTGCATTAGAAAACCTAGAAGACGTGCTTCTGGAGCCACCACGTGCCGCTTCGGGGAAATCGAAGGTTTACTTGAAGCGTACCAAGTATTTGCCTGATCTGATGGGTGATTCACTGGAGAGTTACCCTCGCCGCGTTTTCATCGATGTGGGACTGCCGCAGAAGGATGGAGGCAGTGGCACCGATTGGTTTCGGAAGACGTACCCGACTAGGAACAAGAACTTTGAGGTGTACAAGATAGAGACTGTGGCGGAGGGTGTACAACAGATAGAGATGTCGGATTGGTTGAGGAAGAGTGTGAAGGAGGAAGAATATGTGGTGATGAAAGCTGAAGCTGAGGTGGTGGAGGAGATGATGAGGAGTAAGGCCATAAAATTGGTGGATGAGCTTTTCCTGGAGTGCAAGCCACAGCTAGGGCATGTGAAGAAGAAGAACAGAAGGGCCTATTGGGAGTGTTTGGCTTTGTATGGGAAGTTGAGAGATGAAGGTGTGGCTGTGCATCAGTGGTGGGGTTGATTCAAGGTTTTAGGTTGCAATCACTGTTCCGATTTCACTGTGAGATGTAGTGAGAAATTGCAGACAAATGTAGACAGAAGCTGTGAATATCTCAGAAAGGTTGATGTTGTGGTCGAAATCGTGGTGATGGACCTTTTTTAAAAGCTTGGATTGATACTGGTTTTGTAGAAACATTAAGAGGGTGTTTCAAAGACTTTGTGTTTCATTTTGATAGTGGTGCAGATGAAGACAAAGTGTTAGGAAGTGCCAAGCACTTCCAATTTTCGCTCATTTCCTTTTAATTTATTCTTTTCTTTTGTGGCTTGTGTTTTAACAGTTTAATCATGTTTTTCTGTGTGAATGCTTTGTGGAAGTTTATGAAAGGATCCTGAATGCTTTGTTGACTGCGAAAGGATCGAAGAATGGTGATCATCATGGTGCTACAGTTGAGGAATGTGTTCATAGAGGGGTGAAATACTTTTCCTCACAATATTGTATCTGTGATTATTCATACAAGTAATGATTTATGTGCAATTATTATTATTTTTAAACATCTATATTTATAAAATTTATACCATTTTTTCTTTCTCTAAGTGTCATTTGAGTATGATTAATATTTTATCTGTTTGTTTCATCAGGCAAAATCTCAATTGAAATTAGTTTTCCTAACTCGATACTTATTTACATAAAATGATATAATAGACTTCATTAGACAAAGGAGAAGGAAAAACTAAGCTCATAAATGGACTAAATCCTCTAATTAATTTCCCAGATTGCGTAAAACATAGGTTTTGTCCACTTTAATATTTTAGGGCAACACAATTCACTAGTGAAATATGTAAAGTCAAGAAAATTAAAATAAATTACGTTTAAAGGTAAAGGCTATAGGAACTAAAATAGTCAATTGAATATGATAGAATTATAATAAATATATATATATATATATATATATATATATATATAATATATTTAAGATTCAAACTTAATGTTACTAATTATGTTAAAATATTTCATAAATATTTGTCTAACATCTTGATTCGTTCGTATAGAAGAAGATCACGTTAAAATAATATTATGCTCAAATCTATTTATTATGTTTAAATAATGACAATATTATTTTAAAAATAATTTATCAATAATGACAATATGTGTAAAAATATGTATCTTTATATATAAAAAAGTTACTGAAATATTTATTTTCCCACTCAAATCAAGTATTTAAATGATTTAAACACGTTCAGTATCTCTAAATAAAGATTCTATATTGTTTTCAAAAACATTTTATTTTGATTTTATCTTTTATAAAAAATTAAATACATAAATATCTTTATATACGTTTAAAAAAAATTGCTTTGGGATATTTATTTACCCTAAACAAGATATAAATACTATTACACTAAAATGAATTTACTATGTTTAAATAAAGTTATATTGTTTTCAAAATACTTTATATATTATGATTTTCTTATACAGCTTTGATACGGGATTAAATACATACAAAAATCTTTATATTATAAATTTAAAATCATTATTGAAGTATTTATTTTTCTGCCCAGAATAAAAATATAAATGATATTCAACATAAAACATGTTTTTTATATTAAATGAAGACTTATTTTTATTTTCAATTCATTGACAACAATAATTTTTAAATATATTATTTATTAATTTTTTAATAAATATTATAAACTTACTAGATATGTCACGTTATGTCAAAAGACTACTCATGATTCCATACAAACAAAAATATTATAACTTTATAAAAAAGAAGAAGTGAAGTCTATATTTAATATATCAGCATAACATTTGTATTTTAAAATAATAAATTATGAAATAATTAAATGTTATATAATTTTCTAATTATAAATGTACTCAGAACAATTTAATAATAAATAATACAGGGATTAAGTTTTTTTGGTGTGAATATCTCACTACTTTTATATTGAAATTTAAATACTAGATTTAATTAATCACTAAAAAAATTAATAACCAACAGATTTAAGACCATATACAGCAAATATAAAATATTTGTTTTATATATATATATATATATATATATATATATATATATATATCGTATATTTTTTTTTTGTCCGTCATTGGTTTGAATATTAAATGAGCATGTTATGTCCTATTTTGATTTGCAACAGTTTTTTTTCCTTGTGAAATTTATTTGAAATTTATCCTAAATTCGCTTAATATATTCCTAAATTGAAGAAGATATGAGTAAAGGAGAGTGAGAGCACGAAGGAAAAATATTGTTTTAATTAAAGAAGTCTTCCAATATCTCTCTTATCTTCAAATATCCTCGCATCATTGTTCGTGCCGGTGCTTATTTTCTCTTCTCTTTTCATCTCCTAATCAACATTAATCAATAAAGTCGATGAATCTCAGTTTGTGATTTGTGCAAGGCGTACGATATTGTTTCTAACTATTTATTCAATTTGCATTTGAATTCTTTATTTCATTAAGGGTTCAATTCGTGCTGGATGTCATTGTTAATGTTTATTTTTTTTTGTCAACCGATGAAAAGGATTCGAGTAGTGTTAGCGTGAGCTTAAAGCATCAAGTGAAAGTGTCGTATCCTTGCAAGAAGGAGGCACACCAGTGAAAGCCAAGTCCAATCGAGCTATTCAAAAGCAAATATATATATATATATATATATATATATATATATATATATATATATATATATATATATATATATATATATATATATATTTCATATGGTTTATCTGCATGTGTTTGTTCCTTGTTCAAGTGTCTTTCCTAGTTATGTGTAGGCTTTTCACTGGATTTTGTGCATAGATATGATCTTATTCGAAACCCTTTACTGGATGTTGTTTATTACTGTTGATTCTGTGAATATGGTTCATTTGCTTAAGTAGAATGACATGTTTTTCATATATATATATATATATATATATATATATATATATATTTACTTTATTATTCATTGTCTGAATATGTCAATTATTTGCACTAATAATGAAAAACTAGGTATATGGTTAATTCCCTTGTGTTAAAAATACACATAAGATAATATATTTATAATTAAGAGTCATAAAAGTAAATATGGTAAATACACATATTGTAACTAATAATATCTAAAATATCTAACACTACCCCTCAAGTTTATGCGTATAAATTATATGTCCGAAACTTGTTACAAATATAATAAATTCTAGGTTCTTGTAAAGACTTGATAAAAATATTTGTTAATTGTTCACTTAAGTTAATAAACGCAGTCTTAATGTCTTCAGATATAATATTTTCTCCAATAAAATGCCAATCAAATCAATTTGTTTGGTCATTTAATGAAAGACATGATTACAATTAATATAAAGAGCAACCTGATTGTGAAATATAAGTATCAATTGAGTGATATCTCCAAATTTCAATTCTTTAAGTAATTCTTTAAGTAAATCAAGTTCACAAGTGACTAAGGTCATAACTCTATATTTTGTTTCTGCACTAGATCTTGCTACAACACTTTGTTTCTTGCTCTTCCAAGAGATCAAGTTATCTCTAATAGAAACACAATATCCGGAAGTAGATCTTCTATCAGAAAGAGATCCTGCCCAGTGGTCAGCATCTGAATAACAAACAACTTTAGCTTGGTTGTTGTGATCATATAACAAACTGTTTCTAGGAGATCCTTTAATGTACTTTAATATACAAATGACTGCACTCCAATTATCTATACATGAAAAATTAAGAAATTAACTCATCACACTAACTGCAAAGAAAATGTTATGACAAGTAACAGTAAGATAGGTTAATTTTCCAACTAATCTTTTATATTTCTCAGGATTTGAGAGAGACTCCCCCTTGTTAGGTAGGAATTTGGTATTGGGATCCATGGGTGTGTTAACAGATTTTGAGTTCATCAACCCAATTTCTTATAAAATATCCAATGCATACTTTCTCTGAGATATAACAATGTCATTATTGGATTTCGCTACCTCAATCCCAAAAAATATCTAAATTTGTCAAGATCTTTGATCTGAAAATGGTGACAAAGGTGTTGCTTCATCTGGGAGATGCCATGGTGATCACTCTTGTAAGAAAAGTATCATCAACATATACTATTAAATAGATACACCAAACACTTGAGTGATGATAAAATACTGGATGATCTGTCTTACTGTATTTCATACCAAACTGCTGAACAACACTGCTAAATTTTTCAAACCAGACTCTAGGAGATTGTTTTAGGTTATATAAAAATTTGTGAAGACGACATACCAATCTATAAGACTCCCCCTGAGCAACAAAGCCTGAAGGTTGCTCCATATAAAATTCTTTCTGCGAATCTCCGTTAAGAAAAATATTTTTGACATCTAATTGGTAAAGATGTCATTGTTAAAGAGCAACTATGACTATGAATAAGTGAACAAAATTCATCTTTGCTACTGGAGAAAAGATGTCACCATAGTCCAAACAAAAACTTTGTGTGTAACCTTTGACTACAAGACGGGCTTTGAGACATTCAATAATATCATTAGACCAACTTTGATAGTAAATACTCACTTTCAACCAACAACAGATTTCTCAGATGGTAACGAGACGAGTTCCCAAGTTCCACTATTTTGAATAACACTCTTTTAATTCATGGTGAGGTTCTAAACATTTTTTGGGTGATGCTGTTCTTATCTTCTTACAACATGTTATCTTATCAATCGCATGTCATCTTCGATACTAAATAACAAAATTTCTCATTCTCTTTTATTTCCTCATGAACCTCTACATCCCTTACCTCATAAAGTTTTTAGGTCTACATGTTTTGTTCATAATTTTAGTCCTGATCTTGATAAGTTATCTACTAAATCACACAAATGTGTTTTTTTACCATGAGAGTCCATAATTGTACCAACATGTGTAAAATGAAGGAGATGATAAAAACCATGAGAATCACATTTGGTGTCAATCACCTGTCTCGAACTTTGATCTTGTAAACAAACATCATTTTTGGTAAAAGAAATAACACAATCAAGAGAACGAGTTAGATGACTAAGAGA